ATATATATATATATATATATATATATTTATATGTATATTTAGTTCCATAAATATGTTATGTTTCTGGTCTCTTGTGCAGGTTTTTGTTCTTGTTGATTTAATAAATTAATTAATAAATTAATAAATTGTGTTTTCGTGACGAGTCTGTCGCGAGACACACTTTAAATAAAAGTTTTTTGTTTTTTTTTCACAGTGTCAAAAAAATACGTTAAATTTATTCGGACATATTTCAATTCTGCCAAAAGCGCAACTGCTCCTCCACCTGAGAACTATTTCTTTTAATAAAAAAATGAATGCATCTTTAGTCACTAGACTCATAGTAGTTACAGTGTCAGTCCATACCTGTCAAACTCAGCCTCCAGTTGACAGTAGGCGGCGTAGGCAACAATGTTCTCCTGACCGCACCGCTCTGTGGTCACACCGCTGACATATAGAACAAAGTCGGCGCCTTCCACTCCAGGACCATCAGGGGGCCCCATGGGGCCACAGGACTTTCCAGACTCACTACACACTTTACATTGCTGTGTAGAATAAAAAAAACCCCAGAAAAGTAGAAAAAGAAAATCAAGTTAATTTCAAATGTATTTTTGTTTTTATCCTAATAAATAATTCTTATCACATGCAATGCATCAATGCAAATCAACAAGACAATTTTAACGTTAAATTGTATGTACGGGAACTTTTCTTGACCTGCATGTGGTGCTGCGGGACGACAATGGGCCCACAGCGGGTGACATCAGCGCAGGCGCCCTGACAGTATCGATGAGGGTCATCTTTCTTTCTCAGATACTGGTTGGTTGCACATTGTCTAAAAAAAATCACACGATAAGTTTATGAGCAACTTCAAATTTTGTGTTGATATACCGTCTCACCAAAAATCACAATTTAATCGATCCATCGGTTCTCAAGGCCAGCTATTCCTTCTGGGTCTTATAGGTAAATCTATGTTTCATTTTAGTGTAAACAGTCAGCAGCAAAATCTAATTGTAAAAGCTGAAGTTATAATATTTGCCTTTAACATTTTTGATTAACACTGATTACTAACTCTGGCATTTTGAAATTGTTTGCCCTCATGGCGTAGTATTGCAATATGAAAAATCAATGTATATACAGTGGAACCTCGAGATACGAGCGCCCCGACATACAAGTATTCTGAGATACGAGCACGCTTACAGACGCTGGGGCTAGGTGGCTGGGCACTTGGAGCAGCCCACGCCGCCTCACTCGTTCACTTCACGTGTTCGTCGACCTCTCTACGCATCTCCCTTCTCTCTTCCGTATTGTGTTTGCGTTATCTACGTCAGTGGTTCTCAAACTTTTTATACTCTGTACCACCTGAGAAAACATTGAGCTCTTTGAGTACCACCATGATGACCAACTGTGAGTGTTTTATGTGTTTTTAGACATAAAAATAAGAACTGATTTGGTTCTGTTTTTATACACCACATTTTCTTTTTGAATGTTGACACAATTATTCTGCAGTTGCAAAGGCTGACCACTGTACGGCAGTGTTGGGTGATTCTCAGGCATCCACTGTAGAGGCTTATATGCAACACTGCCATCAAAACCTATTCTTATCATAGAAAATGACATTTTAAAAGCTGTCCACTGTAGTGACCGTCATGCATGAAAGGGCTAATGTTGGTCATCATATGCATGACAGCCAACATTAGAATATAGCAGCATAGGCCTTCCCTATTAGCTTCCACCACACAGGAGAGATGTTTATAAAGATGTTATGTTTAAATGTTGTATTAATTGTGCATGGTATGTATTAGATTTAGTCAATTGAAAATGTAAATGTGAAAATATTTTCCCCACGTACCACAATCAGAGAGCACTCAGCATAGTTTGAGAACCACTGATCTATGTGATTTTTTCCTCTCTATTTTGTCCATTATTCTCCATAATAGTGACAAGTCCTAAGAAAGTGAGTGGTAATGACGGTAGTGAGAAGAAGAAACGCACGATGACCATGGAAATAAACATGAAATTGTCAATAAATATGAGCGTGGGACTCGCTAAAGAAAGAATACGAAAAAAAAAATAATAATAGAAAAGTAGAAAAATAAATGCGCAAGTCAAGTTATTCTAAGTTTATGTAAGTTACGTACGTGTCCTGGAACAGATTATGCTCGTATCTCGAGGTTCCACTGTAATACATATTTTTGAAGTCCAAGTGTACAAGCAAACCCCTTAGTACACAACATAGGAAAGTCTCAGTATTTATTTGTTATTTGGGGTTGTTATCTGTTAGAAAGTGTGTGTTTTGTAAAGTATAATTTTATGTTTTTAAAAAGCCTACATCCAATAGGAAGCATGTACAGAAGTTAATCACAGTGGGACTAAATGTGGTATTGTACATTTGAGTAGCCTAATACACTGCAGTATAAAAACAACATAAAATTAACATATTTTCAATTGAGGTGATATGAAACTTTGAAAAAATTAAGATTTCCTGGCAAACCCAAAAGACATTTTTGTGTAATCACAGCAAGCAATGTTGGAAACTTTTTTTTTTTCTCACAAAACGAAAACAATGATGTAAAGAAAAGAATGCGTGAACCTGCTAAGAAGCACAGGACCAGTCCTGTGTCTGACACTGAGCGCCCTCTGCAGGAAGTCAATAGCCTGAGGAAAAAGTTTATCCTGCAACACAAAAAAAAAAAAAAAAAAAAACTCAAAAATTGACATATACCAGCACCATGAAGACGTTTTCTTTGTCTGAAAATAACTGTCATTTTTTGTATTTTAATTTCCCGACTTTACTGTTAAATTGTAACATACTCCATTTATTTCATTTCTTTTGTGAATATAGGCGACAGAACTGCTGCTGCTCCCTGTTGACTCCAGCAACAACAGCACCTGTGATCAACTGCTGTTTAACTTAAAACAACTGTCACTTCCTGGCTCTGTGGTTTTTTTCTCCCAGGATTGGGAACTTAAAACAACTGTCACTTCCTGGCTGTCTTTTTTTTTCCAGGATTGGGGTGTAGCACTGCTGTGATGCTTGAATGATAACAAGCCTCCAGTCACTAGGTGGCAGCGACTTATACAGTGGTTTTCTGTCACAACAATCCCCTGATTGTTAAAATAGATTAATAAATTGAGCTGCAATGCTGCCATTTAGTGGCTTTCATTTTCACATACAGCTGTTTTTTTTTCCACAGAAGTATTTTTAGGGCACAAATCATTTGGCAAAACGCAGGCATTGTGTTATCGGGATTTCATTATTGGAGGAAAAAAAGAAATTATGCTTATATCAGGCCGATAATATCGGTAGGCTGATATTATCAGACATCCTTAGTTTTCTTTATAAGCCGTTTTTAGGAGTCCCCTTTAGCTGTAACCACAAAAAATTCCATAGAGAAATTTTCAAATGTATTACTTTTCTGCCATTCCAGTTTGCATTTCGACGCAACAGAAGATTACCTGGTCCTGTGTCACTGTCAGACACTGGTGGGAGAGTAAGTGAGAGAGAATGACCGATAAAAATATCTGTTCCTCACCTTAACCAGCCTCCTCTTGTCTGCAGGAAGACTGTGGACAACCAAAGGACACATTAGATAGAGTTTGTCAGTGTCTGTGTGAGTATGTGAGCGAGAGACATAGCGAGAAAAAGACAGAGACAGAGAGAGAGACAGAGAGAGACAGAGAGAGAGACAGACAGACAGACAGAGAGAGAGAGACAGAGAGAGACATAGAGAGAGACATAGAGAGAGAGACACAGAGAGAGACAGAGAGAGAGAGAGACAGACAGACAGAGAGAGACAGAGAGAGAGAGAGACAGACAGACAGAGAGAGACAGAGAGAGAGAGAGACAGACAGACAGAGAGAGACAGAGAGAGAGAGAGACAGACAGACAGAGAGAGACAGAGAGAGAGACAGAGACAGAGAGAGAGAAAGAAACAGAGAGAGACAGAGAGACAGAGACAGAGAGAAAAAGAGACAGAGAGACAGAGAGACAGAGAGAGAGAGAGAGAGAGGGAGCTTACTGGTCAATGCTGAGGTCATAGATAATCTGGATCTTCAGCTGCAGTTCTTCAGAAGAGCTTCTCTTTGTTAAACGCTCAGACTTCAGGTGGACGTGATAGACAACCTGAAGCCGATTAGAGCAGAGAACAAGACAGCCACAAATGCTCGTTAATATATAATACTCGTTGATTTGTTTGTTTGTTTCCTATTATTCTAAATATGCAATATGCCCTTTTATGTATAGTATAATCAGCATCCCAAATACTGCTTAGCAAAACATAAGATAGAAATGAATTGAGGGAGAAAAATAATGAAACAGATAAGATGCAACATACGTAAAATGACATAATCAAAAAGGAATAAGATGAAGCATAGTCCTTATGGATAATAATGATAATTGAGTGACTTCACATGAAAAAAAAGCTTCAAATACAAACAAAAAACATGACATTTCTAATTGTAATAAAAAATAATATTTTTTATTAAACATCAATGGAACAACAAACTATACAATAAGCGATACCTTCTTATTTTATTCTGAAAAAAGTTATTCCTTTTTGAAATCCTACTTCCGGAAAATTACTAGCTGCTGTTGCTAGGCAAACAAATCCTAAGATTAAATGGAAGAAATCTGTTCCTGTGGGTAAAATAAATCTAATTTTAATGTAATTGAACCCGGTAGCTTAATGTTAGCTATGCACACTAACCTTCAAAGGGCTAACCGGCAAACTTAATTTCCGATGAAAAATATACTTCACTTGTGTTTGTGGAATTAGCATTAGAAGCTAATTTTGTTTTAGCTCAGCTAAGCTACGCTAAAGCTAATGCTTGACTAAGGCGGCTCTCACCTCCTCCGGTGCAGGAACTTGGTGCCTGCAGTTGCTGTGTCCGCTTACTTGTGCTCCAAGCAAGGGGAAGCAGAGCAGGAGGATGACGCGGCCGCGAAGGAGGCTTCCATCGCCACTGCGCCCCGGCTCCATCCTGCGCTCTCAACGAGCTGCTGCCGCCTCTTATTCATCGCTCGCTGCGTGAATCACAACATTTCACTGCATCTGTAAATATATCAATGTTTTTCGCAGGATAGTGTTATGCTAAAGATGACAGCGGTCGTGGTCAAATGTGTGTTGCAGCAGCTGTGGCGAGAACGCCGGTAACCAAAAATCGTCTACGAACTAAGATGGCTTACTGTGAGGCACATAGTGAGCAAGCACCACTACAAAGATCGTTCAGATATAAGAGGACTCACTACGCGTTCAAAAGGAAGCAGTGACGTTATATGGTGGAACAATATCGATTTAATTTTCGACTTTCTGTGTTCTAAAGGTAACACAGAATGTCTTTAACAACAAGATATAATACATTGATATTGTTCCACTATATAACAACAAGATATAATACATGTAAGGAATATGTTTATTGTTTTACAGCCATGATTTAATTAGAATATAATATAGATTATTCTCTCACATCAAATCAATACAGAATATAATGCAACCCAATAAACAATGGAGAGAAAATATGCAAAGCTGTGGAATGTAAACTTTAATTGAAAAAAAAACAAAAACAAAGCAAACCTCCCTGACAATGAAACAAGTACGAATGTAAACTTTAATTGAAAAAAAAACCAAAACAAAAACAAAGCAAACCTCTCTGACAATGAAACGTACAATCAAGTACTAGTACAGTGAAAGCATACAGAAAACAATTCCAAACACATTTTAAAAAAAATAAGCATAAGCATATAAAAAGCATTCCACACCACAAACCACTAAAACCATAAACATTTTCCAGCCATGTACTACTTTTTTTTTTCAATTGTTTCTCTTTATTTGTGGAAGTTGAGGAATGTTTAGGACCAGAGAATGTAACAAGGACTGGGTGGAAAATGTCACCAAAAACCTGGTTGTCTTTGATACCTGCGGTGTGATTGATGAATCCAGTTTTATATATATATATATAGGTATCTCAAGTTTAGTATGACATAACACGTATCTTGTGTATCTTGATTATAGTTGTTATATTTTAATATTATTTTATCTTTAAAAATCAGTATAATGCAACAGAACCAATTTTAACAATCAACACAAGACAGGAAATCTATACATGTTTCATTTTAGCTAAGATTTTCATACAAGAGAGGAGAGTCAAAGAGTTCATCCCTGCCAGCAGAGATTTTCACTTAAGTTCCCATGACACTCAATGGAGTGTTTTGTCCGTAGTATCTGTGTGCAGCTGAGAAACCTGAAGGCTGATAGATTAAGACGAAGAAGCTGTCGTCAGATTTCACACTCCTGTCTTGTGGTCTCTGCACCTGTTTTACCCTGCGGCTCCTGCTCCACCCAGTCCTGCTCCTCCTGTTGTAAAGCACTTAAACGCTCCACAACACAGTGAGCTGTCAGTCTGGCTTCTGGATCATGATCCCAGCACTCGGTGATGGACGAACAGAAGACATTCATTCCCTGAAAACAAAAATAAAAAAAAACAACTTAAAGCCTTTGTAACAAAAAACTGATGTCTTTAATTAACGTCCATAGAGCAAGTTTATAAATTGATTTCTTCCAAATAAAACCACATGAAATATCTGACTGGATGTTGCGTCCATGCTGGTGGAATCTCTGGTCGTCCTCTGTCCCTCAGTACCAGGTCTCTCATGCTCTCCACACAAGGCTGCTCACAAACCTTGGAGCCAAATGCGGGCTTGTAGCTCTCCACCTCTGCGCAAGGACATACAAAACATATAGTTCATAAAATGACAAGAAATATATTTTCACAAAACAAACTGTGCAGTGAAAGCTCTTACTTCCGATGGCCTGGCAGCGAGAGGCCATTTCCCACAAAACAAGAGCCATGGAATAAACATCCATCTGTTTGAAAGCCTCCAGATCCTCAAGGTTCACCCTGGACTCCAGTACTTCAGGTGCCATGTATCTTGCTGTTCCTACCTGAACAGGACACACCATTAGTTGCTCAAAGTCAACCGAAAGCAGATACAATCAGTGCTGGACAGGTTATGTACTTTATTCACTTAGTTACTCGTTACTTCTCCGAAAATTGTAACTGAGTTAGTCATTGATTTTGATAAGGTAATGTCGGATGTTAATTTTTTGCCGATATTGTCCGATTCTGCTATCAACCGATACTGATATATGCCTGTCAATATTTATTTATTTATTTATTTGTACAAACCACTGTATGAGCTGCTGGCACCAGCATTCTGCATATGATCCCATGATTCTTAAAATAAATATTAATAATTATTTAAATAATTACCTGAGCTGCAATGCTGCCATCTAGTGATTTTTCACTTTAATATACAGCCATTCATCCCACTAATTTTAGGGCACACATCATTTGGCTAAACCCAGGAATTGCATTATCGGGTGTTCATTTATCGGAGGAAAAACTCATAACGATTCTAACAGATATTACGTAATTATGCTAATGTTGGGCATCCCTAATTTTAACCATTAATTACCAGAGAAATTGAGAAATTGGATTTTTAAAGTAACTCATTAACATACAGTATATTATATGAATATTTAATAATATTAAATATATATATACATAGTATTTAATAATACTTAATATTTTTGTGACGTTCCCGGTTATTTTCAAAATTTACAGCAGTAAACAGTAAAATGAACTTCCATCAGTAGTATTGTTCGATAAGCCCTTTTTTTTTTTCCCCAACTGATATAAGTAAGAGTATCATATGTTCATTTGTGAAGTCACCAAGTTCAAATACCAATTCTTTTTGATTGTTTTTGGAAATCACATGGGCATCAAAATACAACCAAGTGGGAAAATGGTTACAGCTAGTTGTATAATCTTTTCATTANTATATAATTATTATGGCATGCCGTTCATCCATTTATCCTTGAATATATTAAATGAAACTTGTGCCCAAACTGCTCCAACTTTGCTGCTGTACCTTGCGTTTGGTTACTTAATCTCTTGTCCAAGTGCAGTTACCGTACAAGATTGGGCATGGATGCAAATGTATATACCAAATACTACTGCCTATGCCTGAACTCATGACATATTAATCTTACATATCAACACAATCTGAAAGTTAAAGAAGACATGCATATCATAAAATTGGTAACGAATTAGACAAATTACAACCAAAAGTTCATCTTGAAACATTCTAGTCCTTCAGTCCGATTGAAACGAGGAGGCTCATAAACCAAAAAATTGAGAAAAAAAAAACAGAATAATGCTTGAAGGGCAAAGTACCTGTCCACTGTTCGCATAGTCATCCACAGTGAGGGATGCATCCAGTCTCAGGGCCAGACCAAAATCACAGAGAGCACACTCCTTCCGGCTTTTCACCACAATGTTACTACTCTTCAGGTCCCGATGAGCCACAGGTATCTGCATCAACACAGACATCGGCAGCACCATGACGTTGACTGCTTTTTGCTAAGACTGTACTCTGAACAATAGCAAACTTAATGTGTAGCAACATATGGTTACTTTTTTTTTTTAAAGTGTGTCCACTTATAAATGCTTCTCTGTGGTGATCACTCTGTTCTTACCTTTGGTACACCACTAGGAGTCATGTCACTGTGCAGGTGAGCTAAACCTTTAGCAACACTCCCCGCTAAGGCAACAAGCTCCTCCCAGCTCAGGGTATTTGCTGTCAGAAAGTCTTGGAGGTTGCCAAAGCTGTAGTATTCTAGAACCAGCCAGTACTTCCTGTGGGGGTGACCAGGGAGACCCCTTTCCTCGGCTGCGAGGAACTGAACCACATTCTCGTGCTTTAGCTTTGGGTCTGTGAAGATTAAGAATTCATTTCTCCACGAGGTGTACTCCAGGGCAGGGAACACCTTTACCGCGACAGTTTCATAACTGCTCACTCCATCTCTCTCACCCTGCAGGAGGCAAGCCCGCCACACTTCTGCGAATCGACCCTTCCCAATGAGCACCTCGAGTTTAATATGTAGTGGTTCTGCAAGATTTCCCTGCCAGTTGTTGACGTCACTGATATTGTCAGTGTCCACTGATTGTTCCGGCAGAGTATGTGTGTCTGCTCCTTCTCTTCCTCCATCAGACAGCAGGTCTAATGTCTGGTAGAGTTCTGGGGCGCCTTTGGCGGTCCAGTCTGAGCGTGAAGTTTGGCGTGGTTTATGGTCGCAATTGTTGCGGTAGAAGTAGAAGAACGTGACAACAAGGGCCGCAACTAGGAGGAGGGGTACCAAACTGACCACGACCACTGGCACCACGTCTTTACTTTGGAGCTTGAAAAACCCTGTGAGGAGAAAAAGAAAAAAAAAAAACACTGACACTACCATTCAACTGTCACCCCTCCAATTTTCCTTTGTTACTCTCACCATTGGCCCTTTTGTTGAAAATGAGCTGGTCATTGCACTCATGCTCTCCACTGCAGCCACAAACCATCATCATGGCTTCATTCACTGCCTGCTGCTGGATCATATGGCATTCTCTGGATGTGGAGTTTTGCAGCAGACCAGATTCCACACCCTCTAAAGGCAACTCGGGCAAATGGCACATGGTTTGGACTGTCATGGTGTCATTAGTCTTCCTCCTGTCCATGAGTATTCCATAAACAGATTTTAGTCTGCAAAGAGATAAAGCAGTTGCCAACTACTACTACCCCCCCTTCAGAAAATTGAATTTTTTAAATCCATTATTCACATTACACAAGTAAGACAACAGCAGAGGTGACGACAGACCAACAGGTCCCATGTTCTTAAAAACGAAAATCACTGATTCTATAGACACTGTTGGAGAGTATGAGTGGCTTACAAACTTATTTGTAGTCTTTTTTTTACAGCCTAAAAAAAGTTTCCCTTCTTTTATAGGCATGTCCTCACTGAGAACTAGCCTATGTACTTTTGTTTGGTTTACTGTTCCATGCTGAGATTCCCGTGTTTTCCTTTCCTCTCTTCACACACAGCTCCACCCCTTGTCTTTTCTTGTATGTGTACAGCAGAGGTTCCCAAACTGGAGGGCGCATCCCATGAGTGGTGCAGTGCCATGACAGGAGATGTGAATGAAACGTAACGCAGCATATTGTCTAATACTGTAAATGTTCAACAAAAGACAAATGGATTGGTTGAAGGTGGTATTATTATTTTTTCATTTTCGCTCTCATTTCACAAAATCTCACTCCTGCCAACTGAACAAAGTTGGCAACGTTAACATAAAATGGGAGTTAAAGTGTGAAATAAATGAGTCTGAAAACAAAATTCGCATTTGTGCGTGTCCTGTTTGTTGTGCAAAATTGTTCTTATGAACCAAAAAAGGGCCCAGCAGTGAAAGTTTGGGAACCTCTGGTGTGCAGTAAGAGAGGCTGACCTTCATCTTAGCTTTCTACAGCACTGCATGATGGGAATGAAATGAGGAAACATAAGATGAAGAGCAAGAGATTACAGAGGTTTACTCAAGTCAAATGACAGACGGCACAGGGATGCCCCTGTTGCTACTGCTGTTATTGCTCAACAGCCACATAATATCACATCGGACTGACAGCAAAATGATGTTTAAAAACCACCCCCACTGAGCTACTCCTTGATTGTAAGTGAAATGTTGAAAATCTGACCACAGCGCCACACAGATCTCCTCACTGGCGGTGCAGAAGGACGACAATGAGCAGTTAGTGAAGCAGACGTGGTCTTGACACACAGGCGTGGTTGATTCACACCATTTACACAGGTTAAAGGTGAGGTGACTGGAGGAGGCATCTTTATGGAAGCCTGTAGTAAATACAAATACCAAAATACACATACAATTAGAGATGTCCGATATTAATATTCGATGATGTTATCTAAACGCTTTATTTCAGATGCTGTTTGCCCCCCAAAACTGAAGTAAACATCTCAGGACCCTTGAAGCAATTACAGCATATGTGGCAAAACCCAGGCATTGTGTTATCGGGTTTTCATTAAATGTGGAAATGTGGTTGTCCTCCATGCAATACCTCTGTCCCTTCTGGTCCAATGAGGATCCTGAGGATGTGTCTATGAAGATTCTTTACTTCTAAGTAATGGCAGGGTAATGATTAAATACCAGAATAGGGTCTTTAGAGTAAATCAAAGCAGGTACAAAGAAGATATTTGACTGTGTTAAAAATGAAAATTAAGGCAGGGATATTGGGTAAGGAGTTAAACATCTTCAACAGAGACTGTCCAGTTTACCTCTTCTTAACTGCATTGGATATAATGTTAGTAATGTAAGAGCAGCACATATATTCCTATTCCTATTATGTAAAAAGTTAAAAGCACAACAAATGTATATTTCTTACAAATGTAAGTAACATAGCATAGCTATTTTTCTATGTAAATTCTTCAATTCATTCTTCTGAGTAAGGTCACCTTACTGTAAAAAGCATGAGCTATAGTACTATTTAGACAGTCCCCGTAACACTCCATAACACTCCTTCAGGCACTTTATTGTATCAGTTCATTTCTAAAGGAACAGCTAAACTCGCTTGGCATCTGTAAGGAGTTAGGACAGATTGTCTACCAAAGGAGATTGGTTATCATTTGCCGCTCTCCCATGACTTTCATTGAATAAACTGCATATTCCTTGTGGCCTCTTACTTTCTGCTCCTAAGATGCTCTGCTTAAGCATGCCACTGCAAAGAAAGTGGCAGATGCCACAAAAACAAAACAAAAGAACCGGTTAGGACAGATTGTCTACCAAAGGAGACAAAAGAACCTCATTCTTGGCTGCCCTGTCCTTTGCAGAGTGGTAGCATGATCAGTCTAGTCTTAGGTATTATTAAACTGGACTGGAACCTGTATGGGTTGCCTGTGAAATGAAATATACACAACCAGTACTTTTGTTTCTTCTAGTGCCCGAGTTGATCGGACAGAGTCACTTGTGAAGTTGTGAGTCCACAAAGTGCTGTGTTAGTTTCCAGCACTCTGTGTGAACCTCATTTTTGATGAGACCAACAATTGCAGAGTCATCAACTTCTGCAGATGGCTGATTGGGTTGCAGAAGAAGCCTGCACTTACGTAACAGAGACAGGAACGGTGCCATAACATTTCCCTGCAGACAACCTTGTCGGAGACATAATCCTGGGTCCTCACATACTGGTGTCAATTTGTCAAGTAATCCACAGTCCACGGCATGTGAAGTAGTGTCAAACACCAGCGTACCCATTTTGTCTTTGAAAATTTCAGGATGGATTGTCTTGGAAAGACTCCTGATAAACCAGGGTACTCAAAGCCTCAGCCTCCCACCCCCATAGAAAATGTCCTGCCAAGTCCCTGTGCCAAACACATCATGAGCATCCTCTAGTTTTCTTACCAGCCTTAACTTGGAGTTGAGGATGCCACTATCAATTTAGGCGCACCTGGATAAGCAACCAAACACTGTGAGAGTACCCTTTATTTATTTGTTCAGTGCTTTTAACGCCATCTGTCCAGGACTTCTGCGTGACAAGCTGACAGAAATACAGGTGGCCCTCCTCATGCCCTGGATTGTTTACTACCAGATTAACAGACCACAGTACAATATATATGCTTAGAGCAACACTGGGGCTTCACAGGGTTAGTACTTTTCCCGCAATCCTCAGAAGTTTTCCGGTCATTCCGCAATAGCTTCCCGCAATCCTCAGAAGTTTTCCGGTTATTCCGCAATAGCATAGAATTTATCAGCAAGTGTGACAAGGTGAAGGAAAAGGACTGTGGTGGATGAGATAGATAGCTAGATAGACAGAGAGAACTTCATTAATCCCTTGGGAGTTCCCTTGGGGAAATTAAGACTTCGTTGTTGCGTGATGACATGACAGGAATGAGGCACGACCCAAATGCAGCACAAGGGAGATTCTCTCGAGGCGCAGCAGGTTTAGGAACAAAAAGCAAAACAACAAAAGCTCACTTGGTCAATGGAATGCTGCATACACTACAAGGTGTAGCCCTCTCGAATTCACGGACCACAAAGACTGAACACACAAACAGCCTCCCAATACCTGACCGACAAACAATGATCCCACAAAACTTGAAAGAGCGAGGTGTATATATATACCTAGGGCACCAGGTGACACACGTGAGACTAATCACAGAGACACAGGTGAGTGTGATCCCAATGATTAACCCCACAGCAGAGAGCAGAACCAGGAAATCAGACAGCCCTAATATTTGTAGCTTGCTGAGCATGAAGCCACCACATTATGACAAAGACTAAGGAACTGTTTGGGAACCTGAGAAGGTCCAGAGCAAATGACCCTCGAATTCATCCGGGACAGAGAGTGATAAAGATTGCAAGTACTTAGGTGTCTACAATCACAATCAACTGAATGGGCTAAAAAAAAAAAAAACTCTACAAAGTACTAGAATTGCCTCTATTTCTTAAGGTGACTGAGATCTTTTATCATCTGTGAGATGCTTCTTAGCAGAGGTGGGACCAAGTCATTGCTTTGCAAGTCACAAGCAAGTCTCAAGTCCTTGCACTCAAGTCCGAATCAAGTCCCATCCATCCATCTTCAACCGCTTAATCCGGGGCCGGGTCGCGGGGGCAACAGTCTGAGCAGGGACACCCAGAATTCCCTCTCCCTCGACACTTCCTCTAGCTCTTCTGGGGGGACCCCAAGGCGTTCCCAGGCC